TTTTGTTTTGTCACAGTAGTGGGTCGAGAGGGAATACAAATGGCCTCTAATAGGCTAAGGATACTGGAAAACATACTGCAAAGCAGAAAACACACAAATGCGCGCATGACCCCACACCACCCCCAAAGAATTATCCAGCCCAAAATGTCAATAGTGCTGAGGTGGAGACCCTGTTCCTGGCTCTGAGGATATATCAGTGAATAAGTAACAATCAGAAAGCCTGTCCTCTCTCGAAGCTTACACTCTACTAAGGAGAGATACATAAGAAATACACGGGAGTATCCTCCCCCCCACCCCAGCAAATGGAATCCGCACACACCCCCAAAGCTTTGTATTTATTTACAAAACAACCTTATCACCTTCAAAGTACTCTCCATCACACTTAATACATTGGTCAAATCTGCAATTCCATTCTTGGAAACAGTTTTCAAACTTATCTGTTTGGATGGCTGACAGCACCTCCCTCGTATTTTTTTTCTTCAACTCTTCTACATTGTCAAATAGCTGTCCTGTCACATCCCTCTTCATCCACAGAAACAAAAAGAAGTCACACAGAGCAAGGTTAGGTGAGTCAAGTGCATGGGGCAAGAGGCATGCTGTTTTTTACCAAAAACTAGCACACTGAGATGGCTGCATGAGCAGGTGCATTGTTGTGGTGGCAAAACCGGTCCCATCTGCCACAAATCAGGCCTTTTTAGTCACACACTGTTAAAGCTATCTTTACAGAACCTCTCAATAGAATGCTTGATTAACAGTCTGACCTGGTGGAACAAACTCCAAATGCACTATCCTCATCACATCAAAAAAACCAAATGAGCATCGTCTTGATCTTTGATTTCACTGGATGAGCACTTTTTGGGTGAGATGACACTGGCTTGATTGATGTTTGCTTCAGGGTCCTAAGAGTAGCACCATGCCTCATCACCAGTAATGACCTTGGAAAAAAAGTCTGGGTCGCTTTGGAGCTGTTCTTTCAAAGCACAGTGTGTTTCCACTCGTTGCTCTTTTTCCTGGGCAGTCAAAACACGAGGCACAAATTTCACAGTGAACCTTCTCATTCCAAAATCTTCTGTTAAAATTCACTGCACTGAGCTCCAAGATAATCCAGATAACTTCCCCATCTCTTCAGTGGTCTATTGTCGGTCTTCAAGCACAAGTGCACAAATTTTGTCCACATTTTCATCCGTCTGGGAAGTTGGTGGACATCCAGAATGAGGTTTGTCATCAATCAACATTTCACCTTTTTTGAAAAGAGAAAATCACGTGTACACTTGAGTTTTTCCCATCTCATTGTCCTTGTAAGCTGTGTTCACATCACAACAGTTTCTGAGGCAGTTTTCCCAAGCAGGAAGCAATATTTCACGGCCGCACGCTGTTCTCTTAAATCAGCCATGACAAAAAGAGAGGTTTGAGCGAAAATGCTTTTACGAAAAAATTCACTGTCACCTAAGTCCTATGGGGAAGCGAGAGCGGGGCAAGCGAGATCAAGCGTATGGCGGGACAACTGTCAATGACATGGTGAGGGCAGAACTGAGGGCAGGCGTGAAGTTGGTGAGGGAGTGAACACTGGGCTTCTCTGGGAAGACTTGAGTGGCCTGGGGTGCTCTGGGAATGATAAGGAAACCAGTCTAACTGGAGCAGGAGTCAACCAGGGATGATGAGAAATGACATCGGAGCCAACAGTGAAGTGACAGAAAATGCTACCTTATACCATTTTAAGGTGGTCATCTGAAACAACAGCCCCTGGAGGATTTTGGCAGAGACTGGTCTACTGACATAGGGTTTCCCAACCTCAGCACTCCTGGTGCTTCAGAGCCTGGGAGCTCTTTGTTGCGAGGTGCTATTCTGTACATTGTAGGGCATTGAGGGCACCCCTGTTCCCCACCCACTAGAAACCAATAGCTACCCTCTCTGGGTGGCTACCAAACATGTCTCCCAACATCATCAGCTGCTGTTCCTGAATGAGAACAGGTTTTAACAAGGATCCTGCGACTGCTGTGTTTAAAATCCACTCAAGGGCAGGTTAGGTCAAAAGCAAGATACCAGGTAAGAGATGATTGCAATAATCCAGGAAAGGGCTATTGATAACTTGGACCAGAATAACAGAAGAAAAGTTGGTGAGCAGTGCTTAATTTCTGAACAGATTTTCAATGACAAGGGGGCAATCTGGAGGCTATCAGGGAAAGACAGAATGGCCAGGTGGTTTGGGACCACAGCGAGCCCGTTTCCCTTCATAGCACCCCTACATACAATGCAACAGGACACTGCTTGGTCCTGCACCATCCTCCTTGGTCACCAGTCCGGTGTGTCCCTGTGTCCATCCCCTTTGTTGAGGGCCTTCCTCTTTTTCGCTGCACCTCTCCTTTATCAAGCATGATGGCCTTCTCTGGGAACTGGTGCCTCCTGATAACATGTCCAGAGTACAGAGACAAAATCTCACCACCCCTGCTTCTAAGGAGCATTCTAGCTGCTCCGCTTCCAAGGCAGATTTGTTCCTTCTCTGACAGCCCTTGGTTTGTTCATCATTCTTCGCCAGTCTTCCTTATGATTTCCCCGCTTTTGCATGCTCACGAGGCGATTGAGAGTGCCATAGCTCCGGTCAACCCACCGTAACACGCATGCCACTGTAGAGGGACGCGCCCAGTCTCAGCCTTTCCTTCTCGACCCCTTCCCACCAAGCCCTGTACCAAAGAGATGTCCTGGCAATGACCCGTGGCAACAAGTGAGAAGGCCCTGCGCAGCGGGAGACCCTTTTAAAGTTGCACAACAGATGTCAAGGACAATAAGTTAAAAAACTGTGGAAAACAGTATAGGGAAGTTTTGCCAAGCCCATATATTTATTCACAGATTTTATTTAACTGGTTTATTTCAAATAGCATGTGTCTGCTCTACATGCAAGTTCTGCAACAACTTTGTTAATTTAGCCTCCTCTCCATACCAGTTCTGTCCCGCACCTGTTTCTAGTGCCAACGTGTGAAGCCATTTCTTCCCACGTACCCACATTCTTTCTTACACGTGCTCTCAGCTAGTGAGGACGCTCACTCTGCCAGGCATGTTGTGCCGACACCGAGTGAGAGCAGGCCTGAATCCTGCAACTTGAGTTCTGCGGCTCGTTTGTGCCTCCCAGATGGTGTTTTCCGCACTCTCTCAAACGAATCTAATGTTATGTATCAGCTATCATCAAAAATGTTTGAAACAGTCCAGTTAATTCATTTTCCCCCCAGAACTATACGCACAAACACTGGCTCCCTCATTCTGGCCATGCAAGCATTTGCTTATGGAAGCAAAACCAGGCGCTGCTTGGTAAAACACTAGTCCCTTCAGCCAAATGCAGATAAAGCCCCCTGCGCATCACCAACAATACTCCTCATACAACTTTAGTCGAAACCCCTAGGCCCCAACACACAATCTAGGCTTTCACACAAAACAGTCTTTATGAAGAGAAACTACCAACTAAAGGCTTTGGGCTTCTAACCACATAGGATGTTCACTTTCAAACCCCACTGAGCGTCTGCAAAGCTCATCATCAACGCAGTCAGCAGGTGCAATGGTCCCATTCTCTCCCCCAGGAGGTTCAGTCCTGCCACAGCCTGAAAGGAAACAAGCCTGACCCTGGCTTTCCAGTGAGGATGAGGATGACACACTCCACTCCTAATTCCATTTCTCTATTCCTTCACCTGATGTTGTCCCTTAAGGTCTGTGGTACTTAGGGCCCAACCAGGTCCTACGCACAGTGAGGGATGGAGCCAGAAGGTTAGAACTGAATACAACAGCATCATTGAAAGCTTCCAGTTACAGCCTTATCTTAATGCCCATGGGAGGGGGTGCTCTGCTGTCACTGCCTCAGTGGGTCATCCTCCCTCATGGGAAATGCTAGAAGAGAAGGCCACCGGGTTCAGAAGGCCACCTGGCAGAGGAATGACAAACACATGGAAAGATGGCAGAAAAAGTAGTTCACACAGAGGAAATGGGCGCTGGAGGTGGCCTGAATGTCAGGCCAGCAAGTGTTTTGCCTCCTCTCCTGCAAAGTTTTTGAAGTGCCCAAGGATTTCGTGCCAGAATGGGCACTCTCCCACTAACCCCCCAAGGGTAGACCCAGATTTGGATGGGACTCTGTTTCCAACAAAATATATGTAAAGTAAGTCTCACCTACTTTGAGCAAGTTCTAGAGTGAGCCGTCCCTGGAAAGGGACACCATGCTTACTTAGAGGGTCAGTGAAAAAGAGGAAGGCTTGCAGAGAGCTGGGACGTACAGCTGGGACGTACAGGGTGGATCGTGAGGATGGCGCAGGACCAGGCAGTGTTTCGTTGTTGTACGTGGGGTCGCTGTGAATGGGCACCCACTCAAAAGCAGCGAGGAGACACGCCCACGCGCTGCCCCCCACCCCGCCCGCGCTCTAGGGCCGCCTTCGCGCGAAGGTGAGAGGCAGGCGGGCCAGGAAAAGCTCACCTGGCAGAGGTCAGGGGCGGGGTTTCCCCCAAGGAGCAGGGCTCCCAAGAGGCAACTACAGAGGAGCTAATTGCCTTCCCAAGACAGTCCGGTCTTGTTCGCCCTCCATCTGTGCCCCTCCAAGTCCTCGGCCTCGCTGCAATCTTCAGAAAAAGGGGTTCACCAGAAACTCTTTATTTTCTCCCCTCATTGCACAGCCACAGCATCCCCACCCGGCGCCGCTCCTCCCCCATCCCCGCGCTGGGTCCATCCCCAGCCCCCACCGGGTCTCAACAGCTGGCATCCCCAACAAGGGTCCCCCCGTGCCTGGGAGCAACATCCCCGGCTGCCCTCTGCGCGCTGCGAAGTGCGCTCCAAGCAGCCCCCCAGAGGCGCCCGGGCCAGGCCGGTGGGGCCCCTCAGCTGTGGGGGGCAGTTCGCTCTCTGCCCCGGGGCAAGGGCACGGGGTCCTTGTCTCGAAGCCCGAGCAATCGGCTCCCCACGGCTCGGGATGGAAGGCGGGGTTGCTCCCAACAGTCCGCCGCGCCTTCCTCCAGCTGTCACCACTCACCTGCTCTTCAAGGGTTGACTTTTGAGTTCATAATAGGTTTTGGGCTCTTCGTGAAACTCCTCCCCGACTTCGAAATCCGGCACGATTCCCGATTCGGACTGCATGGCTCCCGTTTCTCGTCCTTCCACTGCCCAAAAGTGAGACTAGAGCCCGAGGGCTGACGGACGGACGAAAGGTGGCCGGGCCTGGGTCCCGGAGCCGTGCGCCCCCAAGCAGTGCCAAGCTCAGTCCGCTTACCCGCGCGCAGCCGCCCGCCCCGTGCGCGGCGAGTTTACACTTGCACCCGGGCGGGAGGGGCTGCCGGCCGAATGTAGCCTGGTAGCTGTAGTTCATCCGGGGTGGGGCATACCCGGCTCGCCTAGGGAGCCACTCGAGCGAAAACTACAACTCCCAGAAGGCCAGGCAGCGGGGAGAGGCAACGTGGTGGACACCGCTAGTGCAACTCTTGTTTGGATTCATTGTCAATGTCAGCAGCTCCTCTCCGGACTCTCTCCTGGCTTGCTTCAAGGGTACAGACTTAGCTATTTAATATTAGTAAGAACGGACTCAACCCTGCTCTAGTATCTTCATCCCTCTGCTCAGCTTAGATCATTGTGAAGCCATGAGGAGTCCTTATTTGAAATAATAAGAATGCTGGAGGGTTTTGACAGGCGAAAGTTTTAGCATCCAAGCTTGCTTTAAATAAAAGTGCTTCCCATCGGCCCGCATGCTTCCTTGGACTGCTGTGATTTATCAACTTGTCCACGAACTGGAACAGAGCACAAGAACTTTCCTTCCCATTATAATTGAAACATCATTGTAGAAACTGCTCTTGTGCGTTCCTTTGCTATAACTCAGCCTGGACTTTCAACAATACTGTTTTTCTAGTTGAGTGGCTGTGTCTCCTTTATCCAATTAGCCACTTCCAAACTAAAGCAGTACTTTAGTTCAGTTCGTTTAAGAAGGCACAAAGTTAAAAGAAAAGTGTCATCCCTGTCTGCTTTTAATTTCTTAGTTGGCCAGGAGTTCAAATGAGATTGTCCAATATTTCTGGAGTGTAGTTGCGGGGTACATAAACCATGTAAGTGTCAACCTCCACTTGAACTTGGGAGCACTCAGGTAACAAAATAACATTCTCTGTTATGGTTATGGCTCATTTATATGTATCTGTCTTTCCTTCTAATTCGTTCCTGTAGGACCTTTCTTTTGTCTTATTTATTTTCTTTCTTTCTCTTTCTTCCTTTCTTTTATTCTTTCTGTCTCCCTTTTTTCCCTTTTCTTTCTTTCTTTCTTTCTTTCTTTCTTTCTTTCTGTGTCCTAAGCATCAAGGAGGCAGAGAAAGAGAGTAACATTTTAAGTTATAAAACTCAAATCTCAAATCCATCTGTAAAGCACTGTGTGATCTTGGGCAAATCCTTTGATTCCTAGAGGCTTCTATTTCTTCACCTATAAAAGAGGAAATTGGAAAAATTGTTTTACAGGTTTCAAGGTCAAATGCAAGAGAATGTAATCTGTAAAACTGCTTCTCAGTGGTCATTCTTCTGTTAATTAGATCTTGACAGTAGTTGTCTCAGACTGCCATTCCATCTGTGTCCTTTCAAAAGTAAGCCATAATCATCATAGGAGAAAACCCTAAGGGACCAGTCAAATACCTGTACATTTATCAGGAGCTGCCCTTCTGCTTGTTTTGCCTTGTGGTAAAGCATTTGAATTTTAAATCAGAAGAGATACTCAAAAGGATGGATTGATTTTGAAGCTAAGGATCTCAAGGAAAATTAGACACAGTCCAGGAGCTACAAGGCATGCTGGAGCAACTACCAAAATCCCCACAATAAAAATGAATTCCCTAAATATTTTTTGGCCTTCCACTATAACCATTAAAATATGACAGAATACCTGAAAACAACTCTGAAAAAAGGTATGTTTTTCATGCTGGTGAATATAGAATCCAACTTTCATTGTTAGGGACTCCTGAAAGTCAGATGCCAAAAAATGTTTTTAAAAGGGGGGTGGGGGCGGTTACTATCTGCCAGCAGGAAGAAGAAAGTAAAAATATGGATTTCTAGTCACATCTGCTTAACTAAGCTTCTGGAAAATTCTGAGGGACAATGCATTTTTAACATCATTTGGAGGTTATTACATGGTGCAAATATTTAATGAATTCAGTTCCTAGACGTTGGAGATTCAAAACTACTGAGCGGTATCTGGAAAGAAAAGCCTGGCAATCTAATTTTTTTAAAAGTCATTGATAAACCTTTTGTGAGCCCAATTCCACCCTGACACACACAAAGTGGCCACAAGTTGTAATCAACTTAATGGCAATTGGTTACAGATATATATGGAGGTATCAGCCAGAGATGCTGAACATCTTGCACAATGATGAACTATCTGGTTGAAATGTCAGTGGTCCCCATCCACACACTGAGAAACATTGTAGGTTACTGAATCTTTTAGCTTACCTTTCTCTTTCTCCCCTAGAAAAGTCAGCTAGAAACAAAGCCTAATGGCAATCAAGGACTCCATCTTAGAACTGCCTGTGTATAATCTCTTTGAAACTATAATTAAATTTGTTATACCAGACAATAACTTGCCACAGAAGAAACCAAACTTGATGAAGAAAAGCTATCAAATGAGACCAATGAACTTTCTTCCAATTAAGTGTACTCATGAGAGAGATCCTAAGACACACATATATAAACTATTATTCTTGGGTGCCCAGACTGTTTTTCCCTGCATCTTTTATTCAGATCCTCAGTCAGAGAAATTTCTCTTTCAGTTGCTGATGTGGCACAATTCAAAATTAGAAGAAACAGTTGGAAACATCCATTAATAATCAGGATGTGGAATGTACAAAGTATAAATCAAGGGAAATTGGAAGTTGTCAAACAAAAGAAATTGAGCACTTGAAGATAGAGATCCTAAACAATAGTGAGATGAAATGGACTGATATTGACCATATTGAATTGGAAAATCATATTGTTTACTATGTCAGCAATGACCAATTGAAGATGAATACTGTCCTATTCATTGTCAAAAGGAACATTTCAAGAGCTATCCTGAAATATACCACTCCTCACTTATTGGTGGATTCAAAAACCCAGTCATTATGCTGAACGATGCAAAATGCATGGTGACCGCATCACCTCACAAAAGGAAGGCTATATCGCATATTTATAAAACTGCCAACCCACTGCAAATCATGCGTCAGTCAAATTGATGCATAGCCTCGGTAATCACAGCCAGCATTACTCGTGCCTCACACTTCCCCACTGCTACTGCTGGATGTACATTCTCCATGTGCAAAATAGTCAAATAGTCGATGTTTCACTATTGATGTAAATGAAAGCTGTCAGATAATTAGCTAGTAGATAAGTGGGGAATAGCTGTAGAAAACTGTCAGTGATAGAATAATAGCTCTATATCTACAAGGAAAGCCAGTTAATAGGAATATTATCAAATTTACGCCTCAACTACTAATGTCAACAGGATAAAGATGAGACTCTGTGCTCCTGTGAAGATTTATAGCCTCAGAAACCTGCAGGGGCAGTTCTACCCTGTCCTATAAGGTCGCTATGAGCCAGAATCGACTCCATGGCCGTGCGTTTTGTGTTTTAGACGGATGCCAAAAATTAAGAAATTAAAGGTTTTTACCAAATTCCTCAGTTTGAGATTGATGAAACATGTGATCAAGGTGCATTCATAATTACTGGTGATTGGAATGTGAAGGTTGTCCCAAAAAGAAGGCTCAGTAGATGGAAAATATGACTTTGGCAACAGAAAGAATGCAGGAGATCACATGATAGAATTTGCAAGACCAATAACTCATTCATTAAAAAAACTTTTTTCAAACACATACATGTACACGTGGACACCACTCATCTGTCCATTTGGCTGATGTCTTGCACAGAAAGCATTGATGCTGAATGAGCAAGGTTGTCCACAGTGAACAGATTTCAGCAGAGCTTCCAGACTAAGAATAGACTATGGAAAAGGAATAAGTGTTCCACCTCTGAGGTATTAGCAAATGAAACCCCGAGGTATAGCAGTGGACCATTATCAGCTATAGTACCAGAAGACGAGGCCATCAGGTTGGAAGGCACTAAAACTTATGACTGAGCTGCCTCCGCAAGTAAAACTGATCTTACTGAGACTGATGGAGCAAAGCTTCCCGGACCATCAGTGGCTGATGAAGTATAACTCAAGATGAGAAGAAACAGCCAGAAGCTTTCCATTAAGAATCAGAATGTAAATATAAAAAGTATGAGGCTAGGAAGATTGGAAATCATCAAAAATGAAATGGAAGGGGAAAAGATGGATATGCTGGACATTATTGAGCTGAAATGGACTGGTATTGGCCACTTTGCATCTGACAATGATAACTTTTACTACGCCAGGAGTGGCAAAGTCAAGAGGAATGGTATAGCACTTGATGTCAAAAAGAACATTTCCACGTCTATCTTGAAAATGCTGACTGTGAGAGGAAAATATCGATATGCCTACAAGGAAGCTCAAATAGTACAACTTTTACTCAAACCTACATACCAACCACTAAAACTAGTGATGAAGAAATTGAAGGATTCTATTAACCTCTTCGGTCGGAAATCAATCAAACACACAGTCAAGGTGCATTGATGATTACAGGCTATTTGACTGAGAAAATTGGACATACAGAAGAAGGATCCGTAGTTGGAAAAGATAGCCTTAGTAATTGAAAGAAGCTGGAAATTGAATGATCAAATTCTGCAAGACCAGCACCTTCTTCATCGCAAATACCATTTTTCAACAACATAAACTAACTGTACACATGAACTCAGACAAATGGAGTACACAGGAATCAGATTGACTGTGGGAGGAAATGATGGATATATCCTATATCATCAGGCAAAACAATACCAAGGACATTCAGAGGGATAGTCCATCAGTAACTCACACATAAGTTCAGGTTGATGTTTAAAAAAGTTAGTTAAAATATGACCTTGAGGTAGCAGACACACATTGGCCCTCGACTCAAGTACTACTTAAATGCAAGAACACTTTGTTCTAATAACCTGGCATTCTGTGATGCTTACCTTCTCCACACAATTGCTGAGGACAAAAGGGATAAATAAGCAAAAGTGGTGAAGAGAGCTGATGGTGCCCAGTCAAAAGATATAGCATCTGGGATCTTAAAGGCTTGAAGACAAACAAGCGGCCATCTAGCTGA